AGCCATGCAGAAAATCCCACAAATAAACTATAAACCCTTCTCTCCTAGCTGTGCTGCTGTGTCTCGGGTTTAGCAGACCGACTTAGCGTTTGATCCCTGGGGAATTTAGTCAGCTTGGTCACTGATTCAGCTCTACTGTACAACCCACAAGACAGAGCGGCTCTCTGACTGGCAGTTGGACAGCCAATTGGAGGGACAGATACAGCAGATTAGCAGATGCTAGGCAGTTGTTCTTGGAAGGCTAAGACACTGGAGTGTCACCAGCTTTCAGGTCAAACACGGAGCAGCAGTGGATCTTAGTAATACAAATTCCAAGTTAGAAGCGGCAGGGAGAAAGCTTAAAGAGATGGAAATGCACAAACAAAAAAGTAGTGGACTGAAAAGCCTATGTGGTGATTTGAGTTTCTTTTTGGAAATTTGGTCACAACATTGACTGCCCCGCTGAACATTTCCACTCACCTGTTCCCATCTTCAGTCCATAGCAGGCACATTCCGAGGTGTTGTACATCCCATATTTTGGTCTGGATCCCCAGTCCTCGGGAGAGGGTGAATATGGGCATTGAAAGGCCACTGGACTGGGATGCAGGAGACCTGGGTTTTATTCCTGGCCTTTCCAATGTCCTGTCTCAGGTAAGTTGTTTGGCCTCTTTCTTCTCCTACCCTTTGTCTCTCTGGTCTGTTTAGATTATTATGCTATTGCAGTACAGATTGTTTTTTATTTATATGTCTTTACATCACCTAGCACAATGGGGCCCCCACCTCAACAAGGGATTTAAACACTACTGTAATACAAATAACAATAATCATGCTCCAAAGTGCATTTTACCCCTTTTACGAAATGGCCATACTCTAGGTCTTTATTTGGGGGAAAGGAGCAGAGGTGGGAAGATTAGAGGCAATACCTTTTACCCAGACCAACTACTGCCTCCTGCACTTTGATACCAGAACACAAACTTCATGCTGAAGCAGAGCACTTAGTTCATTGGGCTGTCTTTGGAGGTTAGTGAAACAAGTTTGGGTTCAGATATCTCTAAGCAATAGCAGTCAGCAACAGACGAGACTGCCATAGGCACGGTAGTGATCTTCTGTCCACACCTGTCAGAACCCTGGTTCCCACATACCTTCTTGTAACCAACTTCACAGGTCACCTTGGTATAGAAATAGCCAGAGAGAGATGAATTGTGAGGGGAGATCGCTAGAGGGCTGGTGGCAAACGTCTGTCACAGTGTAACGTAACATATTACAGGTGGCTGAGCACGAAGCAAAGAAGGGCTTATTTGTTTCAACCCCAGGATCCCGATCAGCAGCAATGCTGTGGGTGGTGCCTGCTTGGATTGCTGAGGAAGAGCTTGGTGTAGCTCGAAAGCTTGTCTCTCTCTCACCCAACAGAATTTGGTCCGATAAAATATATTCTCACCCACTACATCTGTCTGAATTCAAATAGGGCTTTCAGCTTCAGGGAGAGCAGAGGTCGTCTGGGAAGGGAAAACTGCCATTTTTTTTTCTGCTCAAGTTTCAGCCTGGGTCAGTTAATGATAATCTGGAGATGCTTGCAGAACTTTGGCCCATGGAAAGTGTGTTAGGCCCATATCCTTCTTAGTGGGAAAAATCTAGTAGGGAGATGTTGGTGTGGGATTGTCAACGCCTTTCTGTGAAGGACAGGATGCAGGCTTCTCTTAAGGAATTGGTTCAAGAAGCCATTTTTCATAATCTCTCAAACAATAAAGTACATTGAAAAACCTATGTCAAAAGAACATTATTAAGGTTATAAAGTCAGAAATGCCAGAATTAAGGATGCCTGCGCAACCTTAATTTGCCCCCCCCCGCCCCCCCGGTGTGTGTGCCTTATGAAACAGTCTTTAATTACATGATTACATTGCATCCAAAGAAGTGGGTATTCACCCACGAAAGCTCATGCTCCTATACGTCTGTTAGTCTATAAGGTGCCACAGGACTCTTTGCATGATTACATTGTATTTTTTCCATAGGACCCCAGCCTCATTTAGTGCCAGCCTCCAACAAACCTCTACCTCACAGGTGTGAACTATGATTTTCAGAGGTCACCAATTTAGCCAAATTTTGGTGGGTTTTCTCTAGGGCAGTAAAAGGCACAATGGTGACACCAGGGCAAGAACCCTACCAAATTTCAGCTCTATAGCATGGACATGTTATAGCTTCGGTCAAAACATTTTAAATTTTCCCCGAAACTCATTCTGTGAAATGGCTGAGCTGTTTCTGCTGGAACTAAAATAAATCAATAAATCAGCCAGAGGCACACACCCAGCCTGGAAAACTTCAGCTAGAACAGTTAAAGTTTGGAAAAGTTATAAGCAACCGAAAACAGGGTCTTATAATGGAAAGAGTTAGGCAACCTTGCTACCAGCTCCACCTATGGTAACTAATAAGGAAACTATGAACTAGTTGCAGTTTGAGCAATTCAAAAAGGGAAAGACTTGGACCAGCTGTGGAAAAGATGGACATTGCCAAAAATATGGTCATGCACCCCGAAGGGATTTGCTCACAGTTTCTCCCCCTGGCCGCCAGGTACTCTTGGGACAGCAGATAACCAAGCTGGCTCTTCTTCCACTCTGGCTGACCCTCTGGCTGGATCCGAGTTTGCCTGGAGCAGTCAGGAGGGGAAGGTAGAGGTGGCCAGTTGCCTCAATGCCCAAGAAAGGGAGGACAGGCAGGGGCAGAGTGGGTATGAGTTGACTGGCGAATAGCATGGGGAAAGGAATAGGAGACAGGGCCAGAAGAAGGGAGGCTAATGAAGATGAAGAATAGAGGAGGCTGCTCTTGTCTTAACCACCCATGGACCAGCTGAACAACCTCATCTCAAGTTCTCTCCACCAGCTCCTCTCCCCACAGCAACGCCCCAGGCTCCCTCCTGCTTCTCAGTTCCCACCCAACCCCCTAGACTCTTGTTGCACTGGGAAGTAACGTCAACACGAACGCTATAATCCAGGGGTTCTCAAACTGTGGGTCGGGGCCCCAAGGTGGGTCATGACCCCATTTTAATGGGGTCGCCAGGGCTGGTGTTAGACTTGCTGGGGCCCAAGACCAAAGCTGAAGCCCAAGCCCCACCACCCAGGGCTGATCCCACAGGGTGGTGGGGCTCAGGCTTTGGTCCCCCCTTCTGGGGTCACGTAGTAATTTTTGTTGTCTGAAGCGGGTTGCGATGCAATGATGTTTGAGAATTGCTGCAAATCACCACACTCTGTGTGTGTGTATGTATGTGTGGGGGAGAGCTACTTGGGGGGAAACGCTGGCTTGTTTGCACCCGATAAGGAATATCACCCATGGAGCCGCACTTGGCAGCCGTGCCCCTCTCCTCCACCCTCAATTGGGGGCTTCACGCCTGCCTTTCTCGGACGTCTTTCCCCTGCCCCTTTCCACACAACAAACAAGCAGCATCTCTCTCTAGCTCCCTCCCCTCATCCCCTCGCAACAGTAATTTGTTCCCCAGCGTCTCTGCCCAGACACCAGCAACGTGGACCGGATGTTTTCCCTCCCTGCACCTAGGGCCGGCTCCAGGGTTTTGGCCGCCCCAAGCAGCCAAAAAAAAAA